GTCTGGTCCCAGCTTATAATAGCATTATATATTTTGCTCTCTATAAATACACACCCTCTCTAAGTGCATATTTTTGAATTTTTTACTATGGTCCCGAGAGAGTGCATTTAGAGAGGTCCCTCTGTATAAGATATTAAGCTAAAATTAATAATATTTGTTAAATTTATATTTTTTAAATAAAAAAAAGATTATAAAATTATATATAGTACTTTTTAAAATAATTAATATTATTATATTGTATATATATTGTTATTAGAATAGTTATATAAATTATATACTATTTATAGTTTAGTATAGATCACATAGTTTAAATTTATACTATTAGTTTTTTTAGTAAATTTTTTACTATTTTGAATTTAGAAACATATTTAAGATTTAGCATAGTACCTTACTATAGTATCTTATCATACAGTATATACTGTAAATATATAATACTTGTTTTTTAATAAGCTAATATTAATATAATATACTATATATAATTTTTTTTTTAATGTTTAAAATATATACTATATATAATTATAGTTCTATGGTTTGTATTACCTATAGTCATCAAAGAATATAGATTAGTCTGAAAGTTGGATGTCAATCTTTGGTCACGTGTAATAATTTTTATTAGCCAAAATCATAATATATACTGTAATAAGCTTTAGCTAGACTAATACTATAATAAAGAATACGAATAGGCAAAATGATCTTACTAATTGCTTAATAATTACAAAGCAATAATATTATAGATTCACAAACTTTATTGATTAATACAAAAAAAAGGTCAAGTAACTAATATTTAAAATTAGACGAATGATTCAACCAACTTGTTAACGATCAGCTTTTTAATTACAAATTTAATAAGCATAACGATAGCAAAAAATAGATTTTACTTTTTTATAAGGTTTAGATATTGTCTAATTTATCCAACTCTTCATAAATACTATCTGGGATTCTTCTGTGAGTTTTATACTTCTTTACTACATATTCTACTAGTTTTTCACTAAGACTATTTCTATAAAGATCTATATAATACCAGCATTTTCTTGAAAATTTTCTAATAGTTATTAAAAGCACCGATTCAAGACTTTCTGGCACAGTTTTTTGTAACCCTTGTATGAATAATCACAATTCTCATATGTATGCCTTTTAGCAGCCCCCCAATATCTTTTAATAAAGTTTAACTCACAATGAAATTTGGGAAAAAAGATGCATTTATGTCCTGCACTTTCAATTAGTTCTTCAATTGCATTTTTTTGAGCAAGAAAGCCAGGTTCTAGAGATAATATATGGCGTGTACAGTAAGAAACTCTTGAAGTATCTTTGATCTTTTCTTTACACTTTTTACAGTCTAAAACTAACCCTTCAGATAGCCATTTTCCTTGTTCTGTTAGCACTTGTTTGATATCTTTAGGTTTGCCTTGAAGCTCTTTATCTAATTTACCATATAGTTCCTCATATAACTTCATATCTGAATCTGTTTCTGGAAATATCATTAATTGTAATTGATTATTTTCTCCAAAATAAGTATCATGCATAATTGGTTGCTTTCCACCTGGGTCTAGATTCATCCTACTTGCAATTAAAGCATCTTCACTAAATGCATCATAATTAGAACTATTGTTGAAAATGAACACAGCTATACAATCAGAATATAATGTCTCAAAAATGGGAATTGCCTTATATTTAATTTGTTCAAGAAGGTGTTTTGTAGTCCAGTATCCTTTTTGATTTGCACCAGGTATCAAGTAACATCTTGCTTCTTTAGGTATATTAGGGTATCTTTTTATATCAAATTGTTGTAAGTATAAACATCTATCAACTTCAGTAAGAAATTCACTAATCATGATCGATCTTCTATTTCCTTTTTTTTGTAGTGGCATCCTCCCGTCTTTAGTCCATACACCCCCGTTTACTATTATTTAAATAAAATATATATTCGTCATATACTACAAGAACTCTTTCTTTTTCTTTTTGAGGTAAAATAGGACATATTCTTTTCATAAACTCACTTTCATATTTTGACATATACTTTTCATGTTCAAATATTTTTTCTAAAAAAGTTTTCCTATATTCTAAAACATCCTCTCTTTCATAACTGTCATAGTATATACCTTGATGATGTCGTTGGAATGAATAGCCAAGAACCTTGAGCCATCTACCTGTGGTCTTTAAACTAATAGTTTTTTTTTTCAAAATTCCAACACTAGGAAACAACTTATCTTCAATAAATTTTTTAAATGTAGCAAGTATAATTTTGAAATTTTGGCTTTTAATCCAAATATGGCATTTGATTTCAATATCTTCATCATCGATTATCCTAATTGTTTTTTGATGTTTTCTATATCTAGATAACAAAAGCTTATTATTAAATAACCAATATTCTGTAAAATATCAAATTGTTTGCACTTTTCACACACCACCATCAATAAAGACCTTCCGCGCAACCTCCAAACTAGCTTTAATTTTGCCACGACTATTATTATTACTCAACAAACTAAAATATTCAAAAATAGCTCTTTTATAATTATACTCTTTAACTGTTAATGTACCATGATTTTGTTCTAATTGTTTTTTTAAATCTTTTGTTCTTTTATTTATTTTATAGACATATAAGTTAGTTTCACTTTCTAAATCGCTTGAGGCCTTATCTAACTCGTTAGGCTGTAGATTTATAACTTGTGTCTCAATGTTATTAAAAAAACTGGTAATTTTTTTGGTACCAACTGCCGCTTTAGTAAAGATACCATTTGGCCCATACTTATCATAATAAGTTAACTTCGGTGTCCTGCCTTTCATACATGGGCCTCATTTTATTTTTTCTAATTGGCTATCATTTTTCTATATTAAGTTGAGTTCTTTAAATTCAGTTTCAATATTCTTAGCATCATCCTATCCACTATTTTTCTCATCCCCCCACTCTAAATCACTAACATTTAATTCATCATATTTATTCCAACTATCATCTTTACTTTCTTTTCTATCGCTAACATTTAACTCACCTTCTCTGTCACTATTATATAGTTCACCAAATTCATCTTCCAGATTTTCTTGATCAGTTAAAATTACTAAGATGTGAAGAACTTTTTTGGGATTACAATATCGACCTTCACTATTTCTATTCTGATTTCTGGCTTTTCTTTTTCCTTTGGAAGAAGGTGGCATTTTTATTTTTATATATGGTTAATGGATATATGTACGAAATCAATTTAAAAAAAACACTTTATAGATGGTCTATAAGATTCATTTAAGTATTTTGAATAGTTTTTTAATAATTAACAATGCAGATTTATAACCTTTTTAGCTACATCTTTTCACATTTAAGAAAATCTACTGTTTGATTGATGACTAATTCATTATCTTTGAAGTCTTTTTGGCAATTAATGGAAGTATTATTATTTTAATAATCTTCTAACTATTTTTTTCATGTCGTTTATTTTTATTTTTATATACTTTAACACCACCTTATCTGGGATCTGCCTATTTTAATATTGTGTTATTACCTGCCTTGTTTGCGTTTTACCTATTTTAGTTTTATTAATTTATTTTTATTTTTGACTATGATACTTAATTACTTTACTTTTCAGGTTAGTGCCTTTGAATTGCACCAAAAATCACATTTCATCACATGATTGAGTAGGAGGTAAAGTTATTATTAAACCAATTCTACTGATTAAAAATTTTTTAATGGATAAAGTCTTCTTTGTTTTAAATTTTATATTATTAATCATTATGTAGAAGTTACTTATAAGATAAAAAATGGAAGATTCACATGTCTTGCTAGCAATGTATATGGGCACCAGCAAAGAAAAAAGTTTAAATTCTTTATCTAATAATAATTAAATAATAATTACATGTTTTTCCTTTGTGGTGCTCATATATTGTATATTACAATAAGTATCTTTAAATATTTTTTTTTATTTTTTTATTTTTGATTATCTATTTATCTATATATTTATTTATACATTA